CTCATCCTGGAGAAGATTTCTCCGAGCTTCCTTCCAAGTTTCCTCGGAAGGCGTTCCTTACATTCGAGTGTCCGAGAAGCAGATGGAATTAGGCTCATTGGCAGTGTTCATGTGTCGTTGTAATCAGGAAAACATCACTCTAAATTTCTTACAGTGATATCTCACTCCAAGAAAGTGAAAATATTTATATTATTAATCACCCTTGAAAAAAAAAATGAAAATATTTCGTTTCTTGAAAAAGAGTGACAATTTTCACTCTTTAGAGTGAATTTTCACTTTAAAGGGGGAAATCTCACTAAAAAAAAGTGAGATTTCACTCTAAAAAGAGTGAAGTTGGTCACTTTTTTTTCAAGAAATGAAATATTTTTACTTTTTCAAAGGTATTTGCATTTTCATTCTCTTGGAGTGAGATTTCACTGCAAGAAATTTAGATTGTAGATTGAATCAAAGAACGCGATGATTGAATAAGATTTGTAGTTTTATATAAAATTGCGTTAAAAATTTTTTTTAATAGTAATAGCTTATAAAAGATTACGTGACGCGTATCACTTTACATATACAAGACTTAACTGGCTTTATTCATAATTCATATACTAATTTATAGATACGTTCATCTAATTTGAAAATGCATGTTGATGATTCTACATTTTACTGATTTCTTCTGAATAAAATGTAAATTTTAAAACTAAGTTCTTCTGTTTTTCAAGTATGTTAATACCGTTCGATGAATTTTGTACGAGTATTTTTAGGATGCAAAAAAATTGCGCGTTATTAATCCTGATTATTTAAGTTTTCTAGCGTTTCTGATTAAAAACATTTTTTTGTTTGTTCTTTTTTTACTCTATAGAAGAAGATCAATTAACATGCACCGCAAAATCAGTATTTGTACCGGGGTTCTATTGGGCGGTAGCACAATGTCCGATGCAGAGTGTAATCGAGTTCGATACGGTAACCACGGGTGATTTTATTGTTATCGTATTTTGGCGTAAACCTCGTAACCCCGTAACAACGCATTATCGGCGACATCGAACATTGTTACTGCATGTTTGCCGATAAATAGCGCTTACCGCGTTTTAATCATTTTTTCCTTCTACGCACGATTCTCTCTTTCACCTACATTATTTATATTCAAAAAATCCGTGCGTATATTCAAGCGTATATGAAGCGCACATCGTCGTCTTATATTACGAAGAGTTATTCGAAAATAATAGATTTTCTTTTGGAAATTGCAAAATATTTTACCGAATTATTTCTCGCAAATTTAGAAGACTGTCAAAAGATTATTCCTCGGTTAATTTCAATTCATTATTCGGAAATTTAATTTAAACGATATTCCGACAAGATATTTAATATAAAATTAAAGATTCGCAATGAATACGAAACTCAGATCCACGACAACTTCGAGTCGAAAAATCTGTCGTAGAAGCCGCGGAAAAATAGAACGGTTGAAAATACTAGGGACATTATATATAATATTAGATACGTCCGATTCGACTCTCCGAAACTCTCGAACGCCTCGCT